AAGCAGTCTTCCGGATCGCGGCGTGCCGGGATTAAGCGATCGAATCATCATCGTCGGGTACTTAAAATTCTTCGTCCGCTACACGGCCGATTTTGCAAGATTTCTAATGAGTTGACGCGACTGGTTTAGAAAGAGGAATACGCGCTTCACATTCACTTCCACCGATTCTTACGATCCACGCTCTGCGAAGCAACTCGGTTCAACTGGTACAGGCGCCTTACAAAGTGGAATAACTTTTTCGAAATTGAACCAAATCGCGCGAATTTTTTTTTGGAGACGTTATAGAGGCACTAATTTATCTGTACGTTCGTTAGGTTGGGGAATAAGTTCGTAGCGTTTTCATATTTTCTTAATCAATATATAATTTTCTAGATCAATAAAACAATTTAGTTCAGTTAGCAAACAATAGACGTAAAATTGCTGGTATGCACTGGCTTTCATTGCAAACTCGATAATAATCACCGAACAAAATCGTGTTTTAAAGAAATTTTAGGGTGTCATTGCGAAGGGGAATCTCGAAGACTATGACAGTTTTTATAGTCTTCAGTTTCTCATCCCGTATACAACTATGGCAAGAACGTTCTTCGAATAAAACGAACACACGCTAGATCCAAGCTCCAAGATGAGACCAGGTTTATTGTTCATCGATTTATTCCTCTCTCACAAATTATTAGTTCCGCTATCGTATTATATTTTCGTTTATTTTACAACGACTTTTTGCTGTTCGACAAAGTGTCTAATATTCGTTCGATAGAGCTCTTTCTGCTCTACAAAACTGCGCTAATCGTCTCTTCGAGTAATTTAATTTTTCGTTACTTTCGAGGCTTAGAAATGGAATATCCAGGAGGTAAAAAGCAACATTTTCGACACCTTCTCTTCTTCGCTTTTCATCGAGGCCAAAAAGCTGCTGAAGCAGCCCGGGACATTTGCAACGTGTATACGGAGAAGGTGTCATAGTGGAGTCTATAGCACGGAAATGGTTTGCGAAGTTCAAAAATGGCGACTTTAACGTCGACGACACGCCCCGCGGCGGAAGACCTTCCGAATTCGACGAAGAGCGTCTCAAAGCACTTTTGAAGGAGGACGGTCACCGAACAAGTCGTGAATTGGCCGCAAAAAAATGAACTGCGATCATAAAACGATTCTCAATCATCTTCATTCAATGTGATTTGCCGAAAAATTGGGAGCCTGGCTGCCTCACGAGCTTAACGAAAACAACGAAGAAAATCGTCTTTGATAAAAACGCTACGAACTTATTCCCCAATCCAATATATAGATATAAATATCAATGATTTCGATATCATACGTAGACGTAAAATATTGATCGAGAATACAAATATGTACAAAAAGTTAGAAATATATTTTTATACTACAGCTTAAATCTTTTATAAGAAAAGAATGTATCCTCGGGCCTGCATCCGGAACCGACATTCCCGCGCGGAATGATTATTATCATCATAGAGCTCTCACAGTTTCATTATGTCGTGCAAGCACTTTTTTCGTATTATCTAAGACATTACAATAATTGCTTCCGGCGAGTGAAAGTAACGCGCAGTAATTGCAAAAAGTTCAGCATTAATTGATGCCAGGCATTATCTGAACGAGTCTTTCACCTTCTTTTGAAGAGAGGCGAAATTGTAGCGCGCGCGGCCACGAAATACATGCTTTTCATTATAATCGATATTTCGTGAAGCAATTTTGCAAATTATTTTTTGAAAATTATTCCACGTCACGAACAGAAAGAAGAAAGATAGGAAAATACGATTATTGTCAGATACGACGAGCGCCGCGCGTCGTAAACGAACAATTTCAGATGTAATCGAACATTCGCGTGTAGACAGGCGGTTCCGTTTGCCCCCCTCGTAGGTTCTCCGTTTCCACAACGACACCAGATATTAACGTCGGCGGAATGTTATCGACGCGAACAGCCGTTCTTGATCTTGTCTGAACGAGATCGTTCTCGGCTGTACGCGATTGTCCTAGAAAACGAGATTCTACCGGTCGGCGCCTTGTGCCCGCTATAGTTGTGCAATTGCTATGTAACGACTTTGTCGAGACCTTCTTGCGCCGCCGGCTAAGTGTATCCGGTTTTTACGGAAGTCGCCTTCGGAACGTATATTTAACATTAGAACTAACGAATCTTGGAAATCCGCGTGTTCCAGAATTATCTCGTCCTTCGTAATTAGTAATCTCGTGTCAAGCTGGCCTGCGAATTTTTAACACGTCGAATGCCACGGGGGTCACCGGTGACCGGCACTTAACTTGGCGGCGACGCCATGGGGGCCAACGATGACCGGCGCTATTGATAGAAATATATGTAATTTATGAACTAATTATATGAATTATATGAATTATAATATAATTAGTTATATATTATAATATATAACTATAATATAATTATAATTATATTATAATATAACTATATTATAACTATAATATAATTATATTTATATTATAATATAACTATATTATAACTATAATATAACTATAATATAATTATAGTTATATATTATAATATATATTCATATATATATAATTCATATATATTATTATATGAATTATATTATATATAAATATATATAATTTATGACCTATTGATAGAAATATATATAATTTAAAACAAATGTCAATATCTAAAATTTGGTATTATTACCATCGTTGATTCAAATGGTGACCCCTGTCGCAATTAACATGTCGAACATGGTTATACACTGTAACTTATCTATTACAGATAATATATCAACATTATATGTATCGCATAAAAGAAAATTCATCGTGGTGCCACGAACAATTTCTGTAAAACCGGCATGGCATTCAACGTGTTAAGTGATCACTTGCGGAACAGCGAAAAGCATTCCAACAATTTACAAACACCGACTGTGTATTTTCGGACAATTTTTCTTTCCCATAAAAAATTCGCAGTCTCATCGTAACGACTCCTTCGCCGGCGAAGCAAGCGTTAGAGGAGAGGGTAGCTTAGTTTGGACCAGCAGTTTCTCTCGAGAAAGAGAAGTGCTGACAGACAGCGTTGTTAACGGTATCAGCTGATCGTGAATTACAGTTCGAGTTTAGTTCGGTAATATTTTGCCGAAGAAACTATGCATTAGGAGAGATATTTACGGTGTCGCTGGTCGCCTTTGAAATGTATTTTGGGCGCCGCGTAAATTCGAATTCGGCTGCTTTCTCTCAATTTGTTTCTCCAAAGAGGATACCTGCGATTCACATTAGCTGTCCGTCCCAGTCCTTTGAAACCTAGGGGTTGAAGCGGACAGGTGTTACGACCTCGGTGTGTGATCTTCTCTTTTTTTTTTTTATTTAGAGGCAGGCCATAAATAAACTGGCTCGTTGATTTATCGAAGTCGAAACAGATCTGGTCATTATAATTCAAGGATGAGACGGCGAGGATCTTAATTGTCGTTTTGAGAACCGGGCCGAGGGAACATCTTGCGCACAGTCGAACCGTTTACCGGCATCTCGAATTTTCCCATCGCGTGATTTATGACGTTATAATTATTGGAAACGACTGATAACGCCGAATGAATCGTTTACGGTCACCGATTCCGGGATTTATAGCAGGCCGGGCGCACAGGAAGCGTCAACGGTAACGCCGGTCTATTATTAACCAGCTTGTTCCTTTTTTTTACAACAATGTAATGCGCCTTTTCTGCGCAACGTTGTCCTATATTTTAGTGGTTAAACATAGGATGTTCGGTAACTGTAGCGTACAGTGTGTTAGATCAAGTACTATAATTTAATCAGGCACTAGCGGTGGTCGTGTATAGCGGCATCTAATTATGACATTACTTTGTAATTTCCATAAACGCATCAATGTTACAATCTCATTTCCTGCTTATCAAGATGAAGGAGATCCGAGGCGGTTCATTGTTTGCCGCGGTGTGTTAGCGGGATTCTTTTATTTACGTTTTTCTTTTTCTTTTTTTATAAATCTTGCTTCAAGAAAGTTCTATAATTATTATATTCGACTTTCGCTGTCGGCAGTTTACAGAACATAAAGCTGATTAGGGTTGCAACGTCACTTATCGGTGCTGACAGCGAATTAAAGCCACACGAATTTTTCTTGAAACAATATATTATATTGTAATTTGTATGTATATTTGTGTATTAATATAATATATAATATATAATATATAATATATAATATATAATATAATATATAATTAATTGTATATATATATATATTTGTATTTGTATTGCATATATATTATATTATAATTATATTTTTGTATATAATTTATAATTAATTAATTTCACATAATCCACAATTACATGTTACAATTATATTATGATAAGAAATATCGACAAATTTCTAATCGCAGCAACCGCGAAGAAAATGGTACGTGGAAGGGGTTAATCAACGAAGACGATTGTCCAGTTGTCGTCCTCGCTCGTTCCGCCGCGCGGCGTTCCTTCGACTCGATATTAGGACGAATTTATTGATCAACCGGGCAGCGGACAACCAACCAACCAACCAACCGAGCAACCAACCACCGCCGAAATTGTTCGACTGTCAGCCACCGACAGTCTAGACGCCGGCCGCAGTAAAAAGTTAAACCCGTTCTGGGTACGCGAGTCGAACGCGAAAGGAACCCGAGCCATTATTTTCCCGGACGTAATACGAGAGTTTTACTCCACTTTGACGGAACAAAGGGATCGGGGGGCATAAAGCATCCGACGACTGTTTTGGCCTTGATCGTGACTCAATCGCGAGGCTCGAAGAAAAAGCGACGAGCAAAAGAAAAAATATGAAAGGAGCAAGGAGGACGAAGCAGAAGAAGCAGAAGAAGAAGAAGAAGCAGAAGAAAGGGAAAGAAAATGGCGAATACCCTCCTCGGGAAGCAGCACTGAATTCAATCCTGCACGATAACGTCTCATCGATTTATTAACTCGGTTACCCTTAGAAACACGGTTCGCTGGCCCTCGCATAGTCCCGGCAATACGGATAACCGTTATCACGATGCACGAACACAATCGATTCTTACCGTCTGGGTGTAGTCCGACCACAGTTTCGAGTCTATCCTCCGCCTGCATGACATTGTTCCCGATGATTATTCCCCCTTTTTCTCTCTCTCTTTCTCTCTTTCTCTCTTCACCGGGACGCTTGTTCCGCTCGAGATAAGCGGGATTCGCCACTCGAGGCAGTCCACCAGGATCGGCTCATTTGCCCCTTTATTTCGCCGCGGACCGTTCCCGGAGATGATTTCCTCTCTGCCACGGGGAAAGCTTGATCCGCGGAGAGATGCCGCCTCGGATCGATGCCGATGATTTATCGGGCCCGCGGATTCTGCATTCTTCTGCGTTGATGCAACGACCACCGACGGTTTTCTTGTTATCGCGGCTTCGAACGGCACGTCTCGCTCGGACGGCCGCGACGTGTGTTCGTCGACGAACAAAACGCGAAATCGCGTTGGAAAGAATTTCGCGTGAATAGGAGCCCGACTTCTCGCTCCCGGATTCGTCGAGGTCGTCGAGAGCTATCCGTTTGATCTTCGGCTTTGGTCTCTGTTATTTTCTGTTGTACTCTGTCATTTCCGCTTCTATTTTATCCTTTCGGCTACCGGACACTTCCCGCTATTCGAGGATTACTCCATCGAGCGGCACTCGCGGGTTCCTCCCCCGCCGATCTGGAAACGTTCTCCGCTCCGCGGAAAATATCGCTCGACGAGCGGAGATCGATTTGGAAAACGCGCCGATCGAAGTTCCTGTCAGTCGCGAAGACGAATTCTCGTCCGTCTCACACCTGCGCGCCGATTTTCAGCGACTTTTTCTCTGCCTTTTTTCGATCGGCTTTTTTTGTCGCACTCGCCGGATAATCTCGGGAACTCGAGAACTCGCGGAGCAGGTATTACGGCTCGGCGCAGGAGCCTTTTCAACCCTTTCGCGGCGAACGCGCGTACCCGATGCAGACGGCAACGTCACCGACGCGCATCCTGCTCGAAACGATCAAGACGGATCACCGATCCCGCGACGGCGGACATTTCGCGGCAAAAGTTCGCGTGCAGACTCCTCCTCGACGGTCGCGCTGAAACGCGAGGAGACGCGCGCGAGAGGAACGCTTGCGACAGAGACGCGTCGGCATTGCCGAAACAACTTTTCGGAATAATGGGCCCGCGGCGACTGTGCTCGCAGTTGCGAGCTTCGACGGGCTCGTAATTGGCCGTTGCGCGACGTTAATTGGCCGGAATTAATTGGCTGCGACGGCGTCGATCCTGCCGCTTCGTTCGACGGGAGACCCGTTGCCGATGTCGACGCGCGAATCCGCGGCTTCGAGAGGCAAGCGGCGCGATTTCCGCGTTTCCGTCGCGATACGCTTTTGCCCCGCTTTGCGGCCGATTTCGGCCGATCGAGGGAAGTCGAAGGGAAACAACGATTCCGCGCGACCGGAATAATGGTAATTCGTTCACGAATTATTTCTTCGTCCCTCGTTTGTCGCGCGGTCTACGCGTCTCTTCTTGTCGTTATCGCTTCGCGGGTTTCCGAACAGCGATTTATGACTCCTTCACGGAATAATCATTCGTCGTTGGAATAAGCATAATTTTTTTTCGACGATCCTTCTTCGGTGTTTCTCGTACGTTCCTCGGCAAAAGAAAGCAGCTTCCTCGCGAACTGATATAAACCACTCGGTGTTACTCGTCGTACAATATTTTTATGGCGGAGGTTCTTTCCGCTTCCCGACGCTGCTTGCTCATTATACCATCATGTTGCAGATTTATTACAGAATCACGGACTCTCCTTTAATTGCTCTCTTCCGTTAAATTAAGCGGCTTTCTCCTTATTACGCGTTCGAATGCGGGGCCGTTTCTCGGCCCAGGAAACAATATCTCGACGCTCGCTGCTGCAACGGTCTTTGTTTCTTTCTGTTCTAATCGAGGAACAAAGTAATAATTCGCAGCAATCGTCGCGGCAACGGGATACGTTGGACGATCCGTTTTTCGTCTCTGCCGGGCCGGGGAAACGTGTTCGCCGATCTGCCGATTCACGGGGGCACTGTCATTCGTCGGTGCAGGTAATTTCGTGCACGAAACACGGCCAAAGTCCACGTTCCACGGGAACAAATGCGGCACTAACTGTTCTCGACGTGACTGTTCGTTATCAGTTGGCCGCGGGGCGGTGATAACAGCCCGACGATAATGACGCCGATCTTTCCGATACGGCTGTACTATGACCAGGAAACTCCGTGAACAGATGTAGGTAGCCGCGAAGGATTTGGAGACACGACGGAACGCTGGAGATATACAGGGTGTCCCGAAATTATCGAGCTTCTAGGAAATGAGGGGTTCCCGAGGGTTTCTGAGGGTTCCTTTCGAAATTTGGAACAACTTCTTCCTTTGCGAAAATGCGATCCGCGGCTTCGTTTTCGAGTTATCAACGAAAAACACTGACGCTCCGCCCACGCGACCACTGCCGCCGCGTCAGACGGCCGGCGCGACGCGGCACTGGCCGAAAGGGCGGAGCGCTGGCCGCGCTCGCTCTCCGATTGGTCAGCGTTTTTCGTCGATAACTCGCAAACGAAGCCGCGCATCGCATTTTCGCTAAGGAAAAAGTTACTCGGAATAGCCTCAGGAATCCCTCGTTTCCTGGAGGTGCCATAATTTTGGGGCACGCTGTATATCGAATCCGCCGCGACAATTGAATCGAAAAATAAATAAAGAATATTGTGTGTCAAACAGTTTGATCACGCTGTTCACGTTTATCACGAGCGTGGAAATTCCGAATTCCGAACTTACGCAACTTCTCGGAAAGAAAACCGGCCACGAACAAATTAGTTGTATCTTCGATTAGCATAAACGAGCGCACACGGAAAAGTTCAGTGCAATCTTGTCGACCGACGGTCGTATAAATTTCTCGGATGCTCGCGCAATACGTGCGTGCGCGCGCGCGTGTCGCCAGTGATAAGAATGTGAACATAAACGATAACGCGACCGGTCCCCGTCCCCGGGAAGCCGTAATTCGATGCACGATGATGACGTAACGCGTGACGAAGAAGCGTTAACGACTTTCGCCCAAAGCCGGAAACTCATGATTAACTGGTTTGCACAGTTTAGCGACGCCGAATACGCGTTTTGTCCCCGTTAAACGTCGAATTCCTGACGCGAGATCATCGAAACGGAACAATTTCAGCGCGCCGCTTCTCGTCGGCGAGAACTCGGCGTTTCATTTATATATATTCTTTTCCTCCTTTATGTTTTCGACGGAACAAGAGAGAGAATTCCCCGATCGTTCCGCGGAGATTAACCCTTAGCACTCTAAACCATTCTGGACGTTGGCTACCAGCTACTCAGCGCCACTTTTCGGCAGAAGCGGGCATTTACAGACCCTCGTATTATTTAGTATGGTTTTGGAACTAACTAACATAATATAATCGCATAGATAGCGATTACAACAACAAAACAAAATTATAGAAAATAAAATATTGATTTTTTTGCAAATTTCTCGATTTCAGCCAAATTCAAATAAGTCCAATATCATTAATTACAATGATATTGTACCTATATATATTATATATAAGTCCAATATCATTAATTATAACGATATTGTACTTATATATATTATATATATAAGTCCAATATCATTAATTATAATGATATTGTACTTATATGATAATTGTATATTGTACCTATATAATTATAATGATATTGGACTTATATGAATTTGGCTGAAATCGAGAAATTTGCAACAAAAATCAATATTTTATTTTTTATAATTT